ATTGTTTCGTCAAAAATGAGACTTTTCCAAAGTGTCGCCCACAGAAAAAAATGAAAAATTCGATTTGTTGCTGGAATGCGGGGAAATAAATCAAAACAGCGTGATTTGTGGAAAAGGCTCTACTCTACAACCTGGTACTCAAGAAAAAGTTTCATCTATTAATCAGACGCTCTACTGGTGAAAATTGAAAAATAGATCGCACAAAAGTTTTTATGCCTTTTAAAGATCCTTGTTATATTCAGTAACTGAAAGTGCTAGAAAAATCCTAAACTCATATTCGAAAAGAGCACAGAATTCTCATTCTAACCCACCGATTGTGGCTCTGATAAAAAGATTTTTAATTGTCCAAAATACGAACATTCTATGCAGAAAGTCTTTGTGTTCCTCTTACGATTGGATTGATGATCAATTGGTGAACGAATTTTTCCAAAGAACATAGTTTTTCTAGTGGATAATATTTTTGAACCGAAAAATACTGTTGTTTCATGTCAGTTTTGTAATAGATCTGAGCACGATTTTTACTAAAATAATCTAGTAGTTTTTCAATCCGTTCTAATATTCAAAAACAGTTGATTATTACATTTCTTTGCCGGTTTACTAGTCTATTAACAACACAATTACGAACCGAAATAAGACAATGATCTAGATTTATCCTTTATATCTTCTAGATATTTGTTAACAAGTTCAATGTTTTCATCATTGTTCGAAATACGTTGATATAGTTTAAGTGCATTAGTCAAATATTTTTTAGCAAATAACCAATGTTTGTTTTCGTATGCTGTTAGACCGATGATTGAGTCGTAATATGCTTGGAACCGCTCTCTGTCTAATAGCAGTGTTTGAACAAATAGAAAATTGGTCATTTCCTTTAATAATGTTAATCCTTGGTCTGCTAAAAAAAATAGCGAAGATAAATTCTGTTCTAAGATATTATATAGGTTGGACTTACCAATTCTGGCAAATGTTTTTTTAAATCTTCATTATAATAATTTATAAACTCATCATAGATTTTTGTTTTCAGTTTAAATGATTTCAGATGGAATATAAAGGCTCTTTGGTTTTCATTTTTTTTTTGACATTTATCACCAAGTAAGGTATACTGTGTAAGTTTTAGGATCGGCTTCATACGCGAAAAGAGTTTGGCATCGCACCTTACTCCCTTACATACTTACCTTGAGCGTTTTTAGCTTCAGGTGTGAAATGGGTGTAAATGGGTAAACTTCGTTTAATAGTTCCTTGAATACAGATAATCGGTTTCGTGTGACATCTATCTTGTGGCTTACAAAAAACGTATTTGTTTGTTTTCTGGTGAACTATATGACTTTATGCGCGAAGATGTAGCAAAATGGGTGCGCGCGGAATTTAAGTTTTTAAGTTTGTTTTAAGTTTTAAGTTATTTAGTGTTTGATTTTTGTTTTCATTCTAGTTTCCTGATGTGTAAACGAAAATTATCTTAATATATTACTATTACTTTTACGTCAATGAATGGTAAACTATGTGCATCCTTTTTTTCAAAAGTGAACTTTATGGCAGAATGAAAATTATTAAGAATTTTTCAAATATTTCCTATGGATGCAATAGGTTTAAGTAAGATGAAAGTGTCATCCACATAGCGTAACCATGTGGCAACTCCTGCTTTTTGTAAGTTCTTATTTAACACAAGTATACCTGCAGCTTTTTCAACTTATCTCTCTGTTGTCATTATTCACAATAAAGAAACGTTCTCTAATGCACAGTTGTAGAGGAAGCTGCAACATTTTGTATACACCTTCATTTTTCTTTTGAGTAACACATGCGTTCTTTTTCACATTCTGTTCACGTGAGTGTGGGAAATATCACCTCTGAAGAGTAATGTCTTGCGGGTACCTTTATGATCCACAGGAACCCGCGGGCACGGTTTTATTCTTGTTCTTCGAACACATTGAAACGGGTAAACATTTTGTTTTCAACGCGTTAAAGCTCGTTATTTCATAAATTTTCCTTCGAATGCACTGGAACTTTCATTCGGATGACAAAAAATTATCTCATAGGGTGTCTTTCATCTACTTTTCTATAAAGTGATAGATAAAGAGAATTCTGCTAATTAAGTTTATCCGAATTAGAATAGTAGTTTATTTAACAAGGTGTTCTTGGTATTACTTGGTGAGTCTGTAACAAACAGATTTATTTCTGTTTCATATAACAGCTCATGTTCAAACAGATCCGTTATTAACACAAGATAATTATAAATATTATCAACGATCAACGGTTGAATTATTTAAAATATGTTTATCATTTTCAATCAGAAGTTGATTTATGTTGTCAACAGAATGTTGATGTTATTGTTGATTGACAACAACAAATATTATTAAAACAATTTGATATTGCTGATACAGAAAAAATGGAATTAAAAAAATTAATGGCTGACTATTTTATGAAGAATTTGAATGTAAACAAAAATGGAGAAAAATTATGTGATTGTTTATCATATTTAAATGAAAAACAATCTAAAGCATCAGCATGTTATATTTGTTATCAAATATTATTCTAAAAAAAATTTAAGTTTTTCATAGTTATTTACAAGTAAGACAACGTAAAATGGATGAAGAACAGAAGATAAGTTAATAACTTGTTCTAATAAAACTAATTTTCGTCTTCTTCTTTTCTAGTTCATCATTATTCATTTAAATTAAAACATTATACAATTGTTAGTTTAGCAATGAAAAATGTTTTTACGTTATTTATGTGATTTAAGACAATTAAAATTTATTGTTAAGTTTGATTATTTTAATAATAGTAGTGTTGAAAATGCTCTGGTTCAAATAGCTCTTACACAAAAACTAAAACATTTTATACAACAATGATTGAAATTAGTTGAATTATGTTTTTAGAAGTAATTAATTATTGGTTATTAAGACAACAGATATTCGGTAAAAAACGATCATTAAATACAACTAAAAAACAGTTATATATGAAAGAGCCTGGAATCAACCAAATTCCGTTTACAACCAAAACTGATTTTCTCTGCTGCTTTTTTTTTTATAAGAGAAACTTCTTTTTCTTAGGAGGTGAACTCTTCTTTCACTAAAATTCCGTGAAATCGAATTTTACTGTCTAAGTATGGATTATCAGTAAGAACAAAAAATGTACTTTATAGTTTTAGCACGAAACCTTACATTTACATAAGATGGATAGTATCAGCTCAGAAAACCAGAGATATATGTCGTCATCTCTTTTTCTGTGCTTAGATGCTGTTGATTGGACATATCATAAACATGTTGATAAATTTCTCAAAGTTGTATTGGACGATCAAAACGAATATAAACAAATGTTTCTTATGTTTCGTCAATTACTTGACTAATCATGATCATATTCAAAAAACATGCTAAATTATGTGATTTAAAAAATGAACTCGGCTTATTTAATTGAGTTTTTTGTTCTTCCTCTTCAACAGATTGTCGCTCACAATGTAACGCCCATTAGTTGATATTGATTGGTTAATAGTTGTCATGCAAAATTGTCAGATATATACAAAATCTTTCTATTTTGCATTATGTGATACAGTTTCTTTTTGTTGGTCTGTACCTAGTATAGTCTTTCTCTCAAGTTTCTTGTTCCTGAAAATACGTCTGTGTGTGTCAGATATTGTGTTATAGTAATATGAAAAACAAACTAACAGTTGCGTGGGTTTAAATTCTGTCTTTCGTTTGTTATTCATATTACTTTGTTTATTTATTTTTTATTTTTTTTGCTGCTCCATGTGTTAAGCAAAGTCAATAAAATATATAATAATTATTTAGACAGTTGAGTACTAATTCTATTACTCTATTTCTCTGACGACTCGTTCACAACTTTCTCATTCATAGAAGTCTCATCACTGTCTAAATTCTCAAATAATCAAGGGAATTATCTACATTTGTTAGACGTCTTATTTTTCGTCATCTGTCTACGGACATGCGCAGACTTTTTTTAAACAGAATTGAATTTGTTATGACTTTAAGTGTTTTGGTTAAAAAGAAAGCACTTTTTCAATAAATAATGATATGCATAGACAAAAAATGGACATGACTTATTCAAAACCTTGCTAGTTCCAGCTGTCATAGACTTCTTTTTGTTTAATTGAATATTTGTATTTATGTACCGAAGAAATCTGTAGACAACTATTGTTTCTTTTGTGTGGAGTGCGTTATGCGGTCACGTCTCCCTCGTTTGAAAAAAACTGTATAGTCTAGGTTCAGTAGCCAATATTTTATTTAATACTTGTTTTTTGAGCAAGTCAGAGAGGTGACTGTTTTTTAGACTCTCATTGATATATTGCAAAACTTTGTGACCTTTAGTGTGTCTTTTTCACGCTACTTTTCGAATAAAATATTTATCTCTCAAATTATACAAACACGTCATTTTTTAAGGTGAAGAATTTCAATATAGATAGTAAGAGATAAACCACCTTTATAATCATGCAAATAGACCATTTTCTGTTAGAAACGTCAACGGGTCAACTATCGTCTGACACATTTAACTGTTGAATAAAGACGAAACGTCTCTAACAGAAAATAGTCTATTTTCATGATTATAAAGGGGGTTTATCTGTTACTATCTATATATAAACACATTTTGATTTGCTGTCTTTTAGATTTGGAAAATTGATAACTTACCATGACAGACCTCACATCAATAATGAACGAAACCAGGAACACAATTTTTTTATAACCGATAGAGTTAGACAAGCTGATTTTTTTTTGGAAAAATAGTCTGGGACTCACTTGAGACAAAAACATTGAGAAGATTAGTTTGAGAACGTAAGTTGCATTGTAGAAAAACCGTTTTCTTTTCAAAATCTGTTGCGCAAATGAAATTTGTGTTGCTTGACATAGGTCTGAGCATGTATTTTTCTATACTTTTATTACTAATTGTTTAGTTTTAATACCGTTGAAATATCGTACCTTCCATCACATATAACTAATAATGATATCGAGTCCATTTTTAATGCCAAATTTGGAAATGTTGACAATCCAATAGTAATGGGTGTACACTTGGTTCAACATAACTTGGGTCAAACCAGTGCTAATGTTTTACCAGTTACAAATCGAAATCCAAACGGAATCGGCACGGCATATGTTGAATTTCTAAGCAATGATGTAGCACAAATGTGTGTTCATAAATGTAAAGCACAACCATTAGTATTTTGTGGGTAAGTAAAATAAACTAAATAAAGAGAAAATAGTTAAGGAACTCAAATTTTTGTTCTTTTTAGTACAAACCAGTATTAATTAAACCATACATAGCTAGTCAACCACCTGTAATACCTATAACCGCCGAATTTCTTGATTCACATTCAGATCAATATCCTGTTGCAGAAGCTTGGTCAAACTATTATAAATCTCTGGAAAAAATTGAACAACAAGCGATGGAGGAATTTAAAATAGCTCAACTAGAAGTTGGTAAGTTCATTGAAACCCTATTGTTTTGCCATTTTCGCTAAAATACATGAAAGAGTTCTTTGTCTCTAAAGGAGACAGTATGGCTGCTAGCTCATCGGCAGTCTAAGGGTAGTTTAACCCGCCAAATAACGTTTAAAAAAATTTTCAGTTCATTTTATTTGGTTTAATTGTAGCTGTTCGCAATGCAAGTCTCAAGGGCTATTGTGTTTCACAGCGCTTAACTAATGTTTTAGTAGGGAAGAAACGTTGAGAAATAAAAGTCAGTCACCACTTGATTTGATGGCGTTTTAATTCCAAAAAGAGTACGAATTGAAGCAGACTCTTGTATAGGCCTATACTCCTACTTTGCCGTTTCCTCTGAATTTCTAGAAAGAGTCTTCAGTTTTTTTTCTGGAGGAAGGAATGTTATGTTATCTTTACTTGAAATGAGCACAGGAATTTCTACGTATAAATAATTTTGGCCATACGTTATCTTATCTCTATGAAACTTGAAACAGGTCTGAATGCTGCACAATTTCGGAATAATTCTAAACAGAAAAAGTGCCGTTTTGTCTATTCTTAAGTGAATGCTGAGAAATGAGGGTCGCTTGTCTATCCAATCTTAAAATTTTAATGTTATTTTCCGTTTAGAATGTGAATTATTAGAAAAAGAATCTGAAAGACTGAAGATAGCTGCCATTTCGAAACGACAACAAACACAACAAGCTCGTGGTGAGTTGAAGAGAAAACATAGTGAAACTGATACAAGCTCAAACGATGCTGCCTCGGACAAATTGTTTTGTTCGAACATTCGAAATTTCTTCTTTATGCAGTTAAGACGTATATCTTTTTTCTTTCTTCCATCGTCATATAGAGCACATATTTGTCTAACTATTTTTTTTGGTGAATCATCCTTAACTTACGATCGACCTCAACACGTCAAAGAATAAACGTGGATTAGAAACAAGCAATTCTCCTCCTTTGAAACAACAAGCTACTACCAGTGCAATCAACGTGCGTACACTTTTACTTGACACTCTTCGCTCTGATCCTGCACTCAAAGAAGAAATAAAGCAGATTGTTAATCAGCAGAAATCGGATGGAGAAATCGAAGAAAATATGGCGGCCGCTCTCGGACCTGGTGTTGCTGAACAACTAAAGGAACGTGTCTTGAAGCTTGAGGAACGAGTAGCTCAACTGGAATGAGATATTGAAGATCAAAAACGTTATTCTCGAACCTGGTGTCTTCGCTTTTTGGGTGTTGAAGAACAGGAGAACGAAAATCTGTACCAGGTTCTTCACTCCTTCTTCAACAATACAGATTGTGGTCTTGGACTCAGTATATCTAACTCTGTCGAATATTGTCATCGTTTGCCGAGTAAGCCTAAACCAACTCTCAAGAATCCTGTTGGCTCAATTATGTCTAAATCTCGAGTTGTCATCGCCCGATTTTACAGTCGAATTACAGTCAAGCGAATCCTTGCCTCGCTGAAGATGTTGAAGGGCAAGAATTGTCCTATTGTGGTTCTAGAAGATCTTACACCTCGAAATTTGGCTATATATAAGCGAGAACGTAACATTCTGCAAGGTGTCGACAAACGACGTGTCTTCACTCGCGATGGCTATGTGTTTCTTCATCGCGGCAAGGAAAATTCTCCTCTACGCATAGTGAACTAAGTGGTATGACTAACTGATTTATTTAAAGTCATTTGTTAGTTCACAGAGGTCTTTCCTCCTTTTTCCTCGTATTTGTTATTCTTTTTTCCCTTCCAGGATGGTAAACCATTAGATAAGATGTTTTTGTTTTTCTCCTTTTTCTCTTTCCTCCTTTCTTGGTCACTCGGGTTTCGGAAGTTGATATGTGATAATGCGTTTCATTGTTTCCCCATATGGTGGTAACAATTCACCCAACGAGAGAAAAAAAGCTAATCGCTTCTATGAACATTCGCAGCATAGTTCCACAGATTGACGAGATTCGAGCCTATGTTTCTCTCACTTCTCCCTCCGTTCTATGTTTCATCGAAACATGGTTGAGAGAATCAGTTTCGAATAAGCGGATCGAACTTTCTGGATATGATATTGTAAGGAAGGATAGACACGACAGGGGTATATCATACAAACAAAAAAAAAAAGAAAAAAACAAAACATGGTGGTGTTTGTATTTTCATAGCTCTTCGACTCACTTTGTACGCCTACCACAATTCGAGGATCCTCCCTAGAATCGATTTGTTTACGTCTAACTCTCTCTTCAAATTTATTTGTTTTACTCTTTAATATCTATCGCCCTCCAAATTCTAACCGCACATTTATCACTGCATTTTCGAAGATTTTAGATTCTGTTTCACTAAGTATTTTTAAACACGATAAAATTATTTTATTAGATCTTGATGCTCATTTTCATGCTTGGGCAGAGTCTGGAGTACAATCAACAGCAGCTGGTATCTTGTTAGACTCATTTACGACTTCAAAGGGGCTTAGTCAAACTGTGAGTGGTATAACTAGGGCGAAATCAAAGACTTGTTTAGACGTTGTAATAACAAATGATTCTAGTTTTACTGAACGACTTCAAATTCAACCTCCTCTTTCTCGAAGTGATCATAATTTTATTGAACTCTATATTCCTACGTGTTTGCTTCATCCTCCTCCAGTGAAAAGGACTATCTTTAATTTCCGAGTGGCTAATTGGGATTTGATAAATAATAACAAGTGAATGCTGAGAAATGAGGGTCGCTTGTCTGTCCAATCTTAAAATTTTAATGTTATTTTCCGTTTAGAATGTGAATTATTAGAAAAAGAATCTGAAAGACTGAAGGCAGCTGCCATTTCGAAACGACAATAAACACGACAAGCTCGTGATGAGTTGAAGAGAAAACATAGTGAAACTGATACAAGCTCATACGATGCTGCATCGGAAAAATTGTTTTGTTTTTAATATAATTTTTTTTTGTTTTCATGATTTATTTCTTTTTCTTTGTTGATATTTGTTAATCAGATAAAGATGACGATGGGAATAAAGGATTTTTTTGTAGAAGATAGTGCTTTTAATGTCTCAATCATGTGAGAAAGTTCAGAGTCTCCATATTTCTGGTGATATCAATATATTCTTGAAAAATACTGAAAATATCGGAATCGGTTTACCTGTAAATACAGAAATTTGCAAAATGAAGAAATGATAAGACGAGTGACTTGTATACTTCGAAACTACGTAGTTGTGTATATTTCGATTTTCCAATTTTGTGGAAACCGATGATATTTTTGCTGTTTTTTCGTCTCATGAGCAAAAAATTCCACGAACGAAAATTTTCTTCAACTGATGCGCGAAAATCCTTTTTTTTGAGAGATAAAAAGTCTACTTTTCATCGGAATTTGCTGAAGAAACTGGGATTTTTAGAAAAATTGGCCTGCCGAAACAATTCTTAACAGATTGGTAGATTTGAATCTTGCCATATAGTATGGACAGTGTATGATCAAGATACTCAATATTTAGTTGATCATGTTATCAAACGATTTTGTACGAATCGTACTGCATGATTTCATACGAAATACCTGACCGACATATAATCATACTCGTACTAGAATCGTAGTATAACAAATCATACGATCCTACCGTACGAATTATATCACTTCTCACTTCTCTTACGATCTTGCACAATCGTGTACGACCTTAGTACGATTCTGCGACCTGGGTTAGTAGGAAACTTATTTATATCTGGTTAAAGATTTTAGTAAGATTTCTCTTTGTCTTGCTCTCTTCCTAGGTCGTCGAAGATTATGTAATTAATTGTGTATTAAATGCTTTAATGCCTTAAATTTTGTAACTGTCTAAAAACAAGCATTTAATTGTCACATTTAATGCATTTTTTGAGCTTTTCAGTTTGACTAATAAATAATAATCTCTTCTGTGTCGATTTTCCAATCTTAACGTCTCATATGAATGGTCTCAATTCGTTTCTTTTTCACATCTTTTAATCATGTATGGGAGGTAGAGTCTATAAAAGGTTAGAAAAAGAGTCGCTGGGTTCGAAGAACTGTAAAAATATTTCACTTCATCGGATAAATCACATCAAAACAGGGAGAAAAATTTCAAAAATAATAATACCATTTCTTAAAAAGAAAAGTCAATAAACAGAGCATTACAAAAATTATGTAAGTTGAGACGAAAAAAGGTGTTTATTTCGTTAAAAAAATTATGGAGAGCCGAAAAAAAGAGGAAAAGAAGCGGTCTTTCAAGAGTAAGTTTGCAAAAATGCCAAGAGACTAACTAAATTCCTATAAACATAACGCTTAAGTTAACCCTTTGACCGCCACCGCCGTTTATAAACGTCATGGGCTTTATCAGTGTCTAAACCTAACGTAATCCATCGTAGTGAATGTTTTTAAGACCGGCTTGCATAGGAATAAGCATCAGGCAGCTGTAGCCTGTGATGCCATCATTTCATAATAGTATGTTCTAGAATCGTGACTTAAAATGGATATGTGTAACGAACAGTCAGTTTGTTGTACATATGGTTTCTTTTGTTCTTTTTTTACTTTTCTTTATAATGTATGAGAAGAAAACACATGTTGGCAGGCCATTGAGTGCTCATCCATTGCGATTGACAACCAGACATTTTCTGTCTCTAGTTCCCTCAAAGGACAATAACCAGACTCCTCAAAGACGATGTTATGTTTGCGCCAATACTGAAGGGCGTGCAAAACAACGGAGTGATACGCGCTACCAGTATACCGAATGCGATGTTGGACTGTGCATCATCAACTGCTTCAAAGGTTTCTATACCTTACAGAAGATTTGACATTGTCTCGTGCAAATCTGTGAAACTGGATCAAAAATAAACAGCTATAATGATTTTCTAAAGTACTTTTTTCTCTCTCTTATGTCGGCGGTCAAAGGGTTAAAGAAAAACGCACTGACAGTAAAGGGAAAGGCTTCCTTTTGGCTCTAATCTTCTCACTCAGCGCTGCTTTCATCTGAGTGTCTGAATCAGAGTTCCCAGATGCTCCGCATTTTGGAGTTTTTTCCTCAATTTTCCGCATTTTAAGCATTTTCTGCTTTTGCTGTTTTCCCCCGTTCATATAAGATTTAAAAAAAAATTTTCTATCTATGTGAGGATTCTCTTCTCATCCTATTGTCGAACTAAGTAGCCAGTCGCTCGTCAATTTATAATTTTATTTTTCCCTTGAGATGGTGACTATTTTTACTGACCGGCCGACCTTACTGACCAAATTTGATTCGTGTAACCATGGGATAGACCAATCAAATTTGGTCAGTAAAGTCAGTCGGTCAGTAAAAATAGTCACCACCTCCCTTGACTTTAGTCTAGGGTCCTACAAAATGGTTGTCTGTTTGTGTGTGCGCAAAATACGGAAAAATGGCTGTCAGATATTCTATGGGTAAGCGAATCACAAGAGAGAAAAGTATAAAGTTATTTTTTACAGTAGAGGAAAAATGTTCAAGCCGTGACAGAAAAATAATTACTAATGCACAACGAAAGAAAAACTAAGCAAATATTCCCATAGTTGGGATATAGATGTCGCCATAAATCAGTCGATTGTGATAACACAAAAAAAGTGATCTACCGATAATAAAACTTACCGAATATAGATAGTCTATCATGGCGAATTGATCAGAAATACTTGGAGCCTCCCCTCGGACATTCAGTGGGTGTCCACAAAAGTTTTTAGCTGGGTATGTCCATTCAGGTCCGTTCACTTTATACACACATAACAGCCGCGAAAATTTGAACATTTCTGTCGTACAGAGCATAGAAAGTTACATGGAATTGCTCATTTCTTCATTATATCAAGTTTATGATATGATATCAAGTTTTGACCTCTCTGAGATAGCAGTCAACTGTGACAATACAAAAAAAGTGGTCTACGGGTAATAAAATTGATAGTGTATAGATAATCTATTATAACGAATCGATTAGAAATACTTCCAACCTCCTTGGGATCTGCAGAGAGTGTGCAGAAAACCTTTTAACTTTATATTACATTAGATGGTTTTTTGGTGAAATCAGACAAGTTCATAGCGTTATACTGGTTGCGAACAGAAGGGACGCGTGAGCATTGTTTTGAATTCAGAAGTATTTCTAGGCCTCTTAAGATTTTTGCTCTATTTATATTAGATTACGAACCTTACACATGAAAACAGAATAAAATCCAGAAGATGTATCAGGTAGGTTCCCAGCGAGCGGCGACCGAAGTGAGGCGTGAGCATTGTTTTGAATTCAGAATTATGTTTAGACCTCTAGAGATTTTTGATTTATATGTTAATATCAGACTACGAACCTTATACATAAAAAATGAACGAAAATCTACAAGATGACTTAGTTAGGCCCCCAGCGAGCGCCGAACGAAGGGAGGCGTGAGCATTGCGTTCGATTTGAAAGTCACTAAAGGGCGTTCGCTTGCGCAGATCCAACTAATAAAGTCAAGGGACCGAGCGAGCGGAGACGAGCGTTACTTTGTCTAAATCAGTAACTCTGAAATAATTATAAAAGCAAGATATGTTGAGTATATATGACAAATAGGTAAGTTCTAAAACAAGAGAAATAAAACGCTGTGTCACTGAAATGCGGAAAACGAATGCTATAAACTAGCGACCTTTGTCCATTTCTTTTTTTCTCTATTCTGCATGAACGAACCAGAAAATAGCAGTCCATATTTTCTTTTAGATATGTGGAATCCTTATTTGTGGCTAAAAGCAGACAACGACTATTTTTACTGACCGACTGGTTTAACTGACCAAATTTAATTGGTCTATCCCATAGTTACACGAATCAAATTTGGTCGGTAAGGTCGATCGGTCAGTAAAAATAGTCACCACCCAACGCCAGCCTAAGGCCCTGTCTACACTACAAAAGTTAAAAGAGCATTAAGCAATTCTATTGGCTAAAAGTTAGTTTAAGCCAATAGAATTGCTTAATGCTCCTTAACTTTTGTAGTGTAGACAGAGCCTAACCTCCAAGTCCAAAGATATAATATGCATATGTAAAAAAACGATGAAATATCTCTGTTTGCGTTCTGTTGTTTTCGTCACGTGTGTTCCTCTGCCACTTTTTTTTCGTTAAAACGATAGAATGAAAAACTATATGCAACATATACAATTTCCTTCATGTCATCTATGAATGAATTTATGAATGAATTTTATTCACGAAAAGTGAATAAAATTCATTCATAAATTCATTCAAGAGGCCTTACGGCATTCAAGAGGCTAACCAAAAATATACAGTCAAAAAACAACGTGTCAACTGAAAACATTTCTGTTTGTTGTTCTGAAGAGAAGAAAAATGAAGATAGCAACCGTGCATAAAGTAGCTGAGTGATTGTCTTGTCTTTTCTTCTGTTAGTTTGTGTTTATCTGCTTGTTGATTTTTACGACTTTGCGAAAATAAATCGACTTCTAAATGCTGCTAAATTCTTACAACAGATTTTAACATTGTCACGTTGTAACAGAGTATAGAAATTCGAAATAACTCCAAAAGACATCTGCCAAAATTCTTTCTCTTATTCTTCTCTATTTAACCTTCATTTTAAGAATGCTGACTGGCGTTTTGAAAATTTTGCTCACATGCTTTTAGCTCCTGAATCAGTTTGTTCATAATATTTCAACAAACACTCAGTCGTTCCTTTTTAGCCTGGGTTCGTCTATCTAAGTCTTCAAAAGAGCTCGATAACTGATAAATCTCTTTTATTTAGTTTTTTTAGATGAATATTTATCCAAGTGGAAAAAGAAAGAAAAAATTGCGAATTGAATTCGAAATTGAGCTTTTTTTACATTTCAAGT